GAACTATATACTAGAAATAGTTTGACATTACACCTGCATGCCTCAGTAAACGAATGTTTTGAAGCGATCCACATTTGGTGAGCTAACATGCAGACTTAATGTTGAATAGTTGAGTATTTTAAGCTGCGATATGAAGGTCTGAAGGATATACAACTACCTGAAAAATATAACCTCAACTTCGACGTTTTGAGCCGAGGATACAAACTTTACAACGAAGCGCCGTTGCTCGAAACGTCGAAATTCTGTTTATATTTTTCACGTGGTTGCATATCCTTCACATCCCAGCTTTCTGTTATTGTCTCTATCTACAGTAGCAACGACTAGTTGAGCACTTTGACTGAGAATGTCAAAGTATGTCGTTCATTTCCACGCATGTAGCAAAACTGGATAATTTGCTGAGCATTTTATTTACAAAATCACTTGGATACATAACATTGACAAAAAGCTAGGCCTCTTTAACAAAGTTAAGCAATAACTATTGTTCCAAGGCTGTTCTTACAGTCTTCGTCTATATTAGTTCCATCTGTTTTAAAAGGATGTATAAAATTAGATAGATGTCGGTATTCGTTAACAACTGTCAAAATTCCAAATTTTCCATATTCACAACAACTACAGAAGCTAAAGCCCTTGCCTCAGCCATTGAGGCCAATCTCTTCCAAGAATTTGATAAAAAGTCGAAACAATCCACTGCAGCAAATTCGTTCTGCGCATCACCAATTACAATAAGCGTGTTTCCACGAGAAATACACGAACAACCAGCTCGTCCCGTTTTCATGGCCAATAGGACCTTACTCTGGCCAGTTTTGAAATCGTACTCGATAATCTTATTGCTGAATTTATCTGCGTCGTTATTCTCCTTGCCTCCAATCAAAAGCATGGTGTCACCACGGCGAACTGTCCCCATATACATAACTGGAGATGGCAATGGTGGCATTTCAACACATTCATTTCTTGCTATGTCGAATATTTCCACATCGGTTTCCGCTCCATTTCCACCAGCGATTAAAACCTTATCATTGAACAACTCCACTCCATGGCACGCTCGTTTCTTCTTCATGTGACAAAGCAACTTGCATGAATACGGAGGAACAAGGAGAAGCTCGTATATCGTATCCAAATTCTCATCTGGCTTCGTTTGGCCACCAATAATCAGCAAACGATTCCCATGGACGACGCACTTGTGACCATAGACCTTGATAGGAAGATTGACAAAAAACTCGTGCCATTCTGGAGGATTACCATTCAGATCCAATACTTCGATGCTATCCAGACGTTTATCAGACTCGTTAAACCCGCCACAAACAAATATTTGATTCTTAAACATCACAGCTCCAGAACTCTCTCGAGCTATTTTCAACGCAGGCAGTTGTGTCCAGGTTTGGTTGAACAAGTTAAATCGCTCAACAGAAGAAACGTCCTTCTTTGTTTTGGGATTGAAACCTGCGATGACAATAATATCAGTACTCTTGGAGTTTGCAGACTTTTGAAGACTTTCAACCGCAATCGTCATCCGTTGGACGCACGTCATAATTTCATGTTGCGTGGCTTTCACTTCTGCTAGATCTTTCTTCATTTCGTCCACATCACGTCGTAGAACGCAGCCATGGGCGCCATATTTATGATGAGGCATCTTTTTGCCACAGTCGTCACAGGTCGTCGTCTTGAAGCGACATAAATCAAGCTCGTGTTGCTTTACATCGCGTTTGCTCACGACTTCGGCACAACCTTCATTTGAGCAAGTGACAGGCATGAAATCACAGTCCTGAACGTGTGCCTGTAGAGCTCCAAGCTCGAGGACCGCATCACAGCCTCTCGCTACATGGTCACAACTGATCTTGTAACGGGAAACACAGTCGGCCACAATTCTTGGAGCCTTACGCAATGTCTCTACCGTCAGTTTGTCTTGACAGACAGGACAACTATGGGAGGTCTTCTCCAGGTGTTTCTTGATACAACCAGAACAGAAATAGTGCTCGTTGTTCTCACATTGCTTTGGATCTTGTAAGACACCGAGACAGATACAGCAAACAAAGCCCTCGTCAATAGTTGAATGAAAGCGAGTTGTGTCGTAACCCTCGGCCATATTCTTTACGATACAATCACGATCGAAGTTAAGTTACATCTTGTAACATAACCAGTAGAAACTGTTTCATATATTGACCTACATACGCTTGCTTTTCTTCGAAGAACAAAGGTAAAAAACAGAACAGTTCATCCGATGTTTTACTGAGAACTGTTGTTCTAGGAAGTACGAATTTGGAAATCAGTCTTGTGACTAGAGGTCGTAACCTTTGCAACCATATTTGGCGAACATGTTATTGTATATTCCGCCAAATATGATTGCTTAGACTGATTACGACCGCTCCTCTGAAGACTGATTTTGAAATTTTGAGGGCTTACCGGGAATTAAGTTCAGTCGGATTTGATAGACATCTAAATTCACAAATGAATTAGTATTTTCATAGTTATTAACTATGGTTTAAGCGAAAGTTTAAAGTTGACACAATTCTACGCAAATTAAGATGACATATCTAGTCCGTCACAGTTGTGATTTCCTTTATTTAATTAATTAGTCAACGGGGCAACTTGTCCTTCATTTTTTTCTCCTCTTAATCGACAAATTACGTAATCTGTCTATGCTCGAAATTACGTAATTGAAGCAAAAAGACAACCCTAAAAACCGGACTATATATGTACACTATTGTTACGCTGTAACCATAGGCGTACGGGGCGGGGGAACAGGGGGCAGTTGCCCCCCCCCCCCCAATTTAAATTAAATTGCAATTTAATACTATTATATTAAATAATATATTATTGTCGCGGAAATAACAAACTCATTTTTATAGGTCAGCGCAAACTGCAAACTTCGAGAATCAATATGTTCGAAAAAGCAAACGCGCTTTTCTTTAAATTTAGTAGTTTAGTGGTATCCTTGTACAACGCGGATTTTTTAAAGTTGTTTATTTCGATAGTCCCAGCAACTTAAACGAATATTTTTTTTAAATTTTGCTTGTGTCGATAATTTTTTTAAATATAATCCCTTGCACGAATTTTTTTTATTTCAACTTATAATTTTCCTTATTGAAAAGTCTCTGCACGAATTTTTTTTAAACCTTTTGGTGCATGAATTTTTTCCTTTCTGTTTCCTCCGCTCGATTTTTTTTGCTCCCCCCCCCCCCCCCACCAAATAACTTTTCTAATGGTCCGCCCCTGATAAAGGATATTACACGACGGCACGACGAAGATATGACTTTTATCTTCGAGTGGTACACGAGAAGATAAAAGTCAAATCTTCAAGGCACCGTGTAATGTTCTGTTTATTACTGTGGTTTATTATATAGTTCCAAGCAAAACATTGTGAAAATTCACGCTTAAAAGCAAATTGTCGCGTCATCTATATGTTCTTAAGTACCTAAATATATAAATCATTGACTCACTTTTATAAGCTGATCCGCAGCGTGTATAGAATTGTAATATAGAGACATACGCGCCCGTAATGCCTTAGAACTATATACTAGAAATACGGTTTGACATTACACCTGCATGCCTCAGCAAACGAATGTTTTAAACAGATTCACATTTGGTGAGCTAACATGCAGACTTAATGTTGAATAGTTGAGTAGTTTAAGCTGCGGTATGAAGGTCTGAAGGATATACAACTACCTGAAAAATATAACCTCAACTTCGACGTTTTGAGCCGAGGATACAAATTTTCCGACAAAGGGCCTTCGCTCAAAACGTCGAAATTCTGTTTATATTTTTTACGTGGTTGTATATCCTTCACATCCCAGCTTTCTGTTATTGTCTCTATCTACAGTGTAGCTCCGACTAGTTGAGCACTTTGACTGAGAATGGAGGGTACATATTTATCAAGCCAGGACTCGAGCAGGACTCGAGCCAGGACTCGACTCAGGACTCGGAGCCAAAATGACGTCAGGTGATTTTTATGGATGAAAATTTACCGACGGCGTTCTCACTTTTAAGGAACTTTCCTTAAATTTAGATAAATAAAATTAGATTTCTCTGCCCTATTTTCCTGTAATAGATGCCAATATCACCAAACTGTATTATAGCCATGGCCGGCTCTTCTAAGGCGGAGAATTCGCCTTAGAAGAACTGGCTAACTGTATTACCTAATACATCCTTTCGATAATTACGTCACACATACTTTTTGGTCTTGGAGCCTCGCTCTCTTCGGTAAATCAGTTACGCAAGGTGATTGGCGTAATTATCGAAAGGGTGTATTTTGAACTAATTATCGAAAGGGTGTATTAAGAACATTGAGCAATGGCAATTCCTCGTATTTTCGCATTTTCTTGATCGAGTCCTTTACTCGAGTCCGGACTCGAGCAATAGTATGTCTCCTGAGAATGTCAAAGTTTGTCGTTGATTTCCCATGGTTGCAGCAAAACTGGATAATTTGCTGAGCATTTTATTTACAAAATCACTTGGTTACATAATATTGACAAAAAGCTAGGCCTCTTTATCAAAGTTAAGAAATAACTATAGTTCCATTTGCTGTTCTTTATGTACAGTCTTCGTCTATATTATTTCCATCTGTTTTAAAAGGCTGTATATAAAATTAGATAGATGTCGGTATTTGTTAACAACTGTCAAAATTCCAAATTTTCCATATTCACAACAACTGCAGGAGCAAATCTCCTTGCCTCAGCCATTGAGGGTAATCTCTTCCAAGAATTTGATAAAAAGTCGAAACAATCCATTGCATCAAATTCGCCGTTCGCACCACCAATTACAATAAGCGTGTTTCCACGAGAAATACACGAACAATAAGCTCGTCCCGTTTTCATGGCCAATAGGACCTTACTCTGGCCAGTTTTGAAATCGTACTCGATAATCTCATTTCTGTATTTACCTGCGTCGATACTAGCCAAGCCACCAATCAAAAGCATGGCGTCACCACGGCGAACTGTTCCCATACGGAAAACAGGAGATGGCAGTAGTGGCATTTCAACACATTCATTTCTTGCTATGTCGAATATTTCCACATCGGTTTCTGTTTCTTCTCCACCAGCGATTAAAACCTTATCATCAAACAACTCCACGCCATGAAATATTCGTTTCTTCTTCATGTGACAAAGCAACTTGGATGAATACGGAGGAACAAGGAGAAGCTCGTATATCGTATCCAAATTCTCACCTGGCTTCGTTTGGCCACCAATAATCAGCAAACGATTCCCATGGACGACGCACTTGTGACCAACGACCTTGATAGGAAGATTGACAAAAAACTCGTGCCATTCTGGGCGATTACCATTCAGATCCAATACTTCGATGCTATCCAGATGGCCATCAGACTCGTCAAACCCGCCACAAGCAATTATTTGATTCTTAAATATCACAGCTGCAGACAACCATCGAGCTATTTTCAACCCAGGCAGTTGTGTCCAGGTTTGGTTGAACAAGTTAAATCGCTCAACAGAAGATAAGATTTGTTTCGTTTTGGGGTTGCGACCTGCGATGACGACAATATCAGTACTCTTGGAATTTACCGACTTCTGAAGACTTTCAACCGCAATCGTCAATCGTTGCATGCCGTCTCTCATTCCTTTCATCATTTCATTTTGCGTGGCTTTCACTTCTGCCAGATCATTCTTCATTTCGTCCACATCACGTCGTAGTACGCAGCTATGGGCGCCATATTTATGATGAGACATCTTTTTCCCACAGTCGTCACAGGTCGTCGTCTTGAAGCGACATAAATCGAGCTCGTGTTGCTTTACATCGCGTTTGCTCACGACTTCGTCACAACTTTCATTTGAGCAAGTGACAGGCATGAAATCACAGTCCTGAACGTGTGCTTGTAGAGCTCCAAGCTCGAGAACCGCATCACAGCCTCTCGCTGCATGGTCACAACTGATCTTGTAACGGGAAACACAGTCGGCCACAATTCTTGGAGCCTTACGCAATGTCTCTACCGTTAGTTTATCTTGACAGACAGGACAACTATGCGAGGTCTTCTCCAGGTGTTTCTTGATACAACCAGAACAGAAATAGTGCTCGTTGTTCTCACATTGCTTTGGATCTTGTAAGACACCGAGACAGATACAGCAAACAAAGCTCTCGTCAATAGTTGAATGAAAGCGAGTTGTGTCGTAACCCTCGGCCATATTCTTTACGAGACAATCACGATCAAATTTAAGTTACATCCTGTAACATAACCAGTAGAAACTGTTTCATATATTGACCTACATACGCTTGCTTTTCTTCGAAGAACAAAGGTAAAAAAACAGAACAGTTTGTCTGATGCCGTTTAAGTTTTACTGAGAACTGTTGTTCTAGGAAGTACGAATTCGGAAATCAGTCTTGTGACTAGAGGTTGACTAGAGGGCGTAATCTTTGCAACCATATTTGGCGAACATGTTATTGTATATTTCGCCAAATATGGTTACTTAGATTACGACCGCTCGTCACAAGACTGATTGCGAAATTATGACGAGGGTTTACCGGGAATTAGTTCAGTCGGATTTGATACGACATCCAGCCTCCTGTCCCTGGCGCTTTGATGTGCTTACTGGTTGCGTGACGCACGCGCGGGAATCGAGGTGCGTTGCTCACTACGGGGACGCTCCGAATTTTTCCTTTCCCCCCACGCGTGTCCTCCCGCGCGCGCGTCACGCAACATCAAAGCGCCGGGAACGAGGCTGTACGACATCTGTATCGACGAGGAACTACATACATAAGAACCTTTATTTGGTAATTTAAGAAAATACAAAATAACAGTAACTCCGAATAACATTTTGATTTTTAATCCACATTTCGACTAGTTTATAGTCATCCTCAGGATTATTAATAATAGTGTAAAATTACAGATGCAGCTTGAGAAGTTCAACGCCCACATCAACTGCTGTGAACATTTTCAACACATCAAATCCCTTATGGAACTTTCACCTGACTCAACTAACACTATAAACACTAATTTAACTGAACTAATATTTAGAAATTGTAAAATAATTGATAGGTCACACCACTGGTTTCTGTCGCTATTCAAGGAGTCTCTTGACCTCTCTTGCTATGCGCAGACGAAAACCTGATCTCAACCACAGTGCGAAAGCTTCGAAAGAGCTTCTCAAATTTCATTGACTGGCATTTAAGCTCCGGCCTGTCAAGCGAAATACCTGACCTCTGCGAAATTCCTGACCAAGCGTGACGGCTCATGTATTTCGCGCGTGTAGGCGGGAAATACATGACGCTTGCGAAATACCTGACTCGATGAAAACCTCAATCAAAACCACTTTTCTTGGCTTACATCTCGGTTTATATCGTGTTTAATGCTATAATAATGTATTGTATCGAATACCGAAGCTAGAATCAATTTGATATTTCTGATATTACTGAACAATCGGGAATATATGTTTTTTATCGATTATACTTTATATAGACTATAGTCAATAAACAATCTGCGACTTCACGGGAAATGAATAATAAATAAATAGAATTAATATATTTTGCATATAGTCTATAGAATATATTTACAAAGAAAAAGTTGATTATTATACTAGTATAACGCGTTTTACGCGTGTTAGGCCTACCTATGTAGGTATCTTTGGATATCATGTTGGACTTTATTGTAAGGTATGACTCTAGTTTTAAGCTGCGTTTTTATAAGGAAAAGTTTAAATATTTTTAAATCAGTTTTGACTGTCCAGTAAATTATTTGAACTACAAATGCACAATGTCAATGACATTGAATCATTCATACAACCATAAATCATAATATGGAGATATTTCAACATATGCACAATATACGCACAGTATACGCACCACCAACTAGTTAAATTAGATAGAAACGACTCAACGAGTTATAGGCCGTGTGCTGTTATGCGAAAAAGTGCCTAGAAAAGCAATTTCGTGGCACCCTCCTGGGAAATAGATTTTCTGTGGTTCACTGATTAATAGAACCATAGATGCTTAATACAAGACCGCGAAATACACGACGTTTGCTAGATACAATTGGTCGAAACGATTTTTAAGTCCATATGCGATGTTAATACCACAAATGTTTCTAATATAGACATCGCCAAATCTAAACGGCCAACTCGGCAACTCACGAACTCAGTGTTGCTGTTTGCTACTGAAATCGTGACAATTGAGAAGGTCAAACCTAACCGTGGTCAAACGCGAAACAAATTTTGGTGCTTATAGTAATGCTTTATAAATACACGTGTTGTCTGTTGAGTTGCGAAATTTATGAGCCAAAGTCATTCATGCACATCGTCTGCGCATGGGCAGTTCTACAATAGTCAGATATTTCGTAAGTCAGGAATTTCGCGTCACACCGGCCTTCTGGCTTTATAATAGCTGCATCTGTAATTTTACACTATTATTAATCCTGAGGATGACTACAAACTAGTCGAAACGTGGATTAAAAATCGAAATGTTATTCGGAGTTACTGTTATTTTGTATTTTCTTAAAATACTGAGTGGTTCTCGTAATTTTTGGCAATTTGATTAGTATACTTTGATTGACATTAATTAGGAGTACAAGGTTCACTGGTTCACCAAGTCTGTATATGCATGAGAGCACGTTGTGCGTGTAAAAGTAAACTGTTTTATGTTTATCCTGTTCTGGTTGCTAATCTGTGAATCAGAATTCGTGATTTAAGACTGTTTAGAGACATGTAGAACGCGGAAACCCGACAAGAAGTAAGTAAGGATAAAGGTTTATATGTATTTACATGGCATGCGAATATGATAGCTGAGCACATGTAATCTATTTATATTTAGCCATATTTTTGACTCACGGATGTTGCGAAGCAACATATGTTTCGCAACATCTGTGAGTCTTTTTGGTTAGTGTGGGGCAGTTAAACAATGGAAAATGACCACGCGCACTGTTTGCCTGCGAATCGTGCCTTCGAGAACCGGAAATCTGGCTGGAGCACGCGTTCGTTCTTTTGATTTGGCAAATGAAGCACGACAAATGGGTGAAATGGTAAAATTCTCACGGTTTGAAAAAACAACTGCAAACTGCTCTAATTCTTTCTCTCACTTTCATTTCATCTTATCCATGAGTCGGCCACAACGGCCTTTGATGTTAATTCTTATTTTATAGATCGAATAATTGCACTGCCACTGACCTGAAAGGTCAAGTGTCTTAAATCCCTAATTCTCTGTTCTATTCTGTTTTTTCCTGGGGGGGGTTTCTGGTTTTTTTCGTAGTCGAGAAATCGAGTTTACGTTCGCGCATTGCAGCGATTCTTATAGCCACGACGGTTTCTGGCTGTGAACGATTAAAATTACACACATACCATGGTTCTTAATAATCCCATTTTTACTATAAAAACGCATTAATAATTCACGAGGAAAATACAAAAGAAATCACTGCCGTGTCGATGGTTTTGATATGTGATAAAAAATCATGTTCATTTACGTAAACTTTAGCTTTGATTTTCTCGGCCTGGACAACGTTTATTTTTAAGATAACTTCGCCAATGAACTCATAAGATGAGTCGTTTTTTGTAGTATTTAAAACACGAGAAGGAGTGTTTTATCAAATTTAAAACGCGAGGCGCAGCCGAGCGTTTTAGATATGATAAAACACGAGTTCGAGTGTTTTGAATAGCTTAAAATACGACTACAAAAGAATACTAATTAGGATGAACAATTATATAATCATACTAATTAGGATGAACAATTATATAATCATACTAATTAGGATGAACAATTATATAATCATACTAATTAGGATGAACAATTATATAAAGAATACCAATGAAGATGAGTTTTATCAGATATAAAGTCACTCCACGTGACATGTTATGGCTGACATGATTTGCCACAAGGTTTATGAATTTTTAATGAGTATAGTTTAAAAGCCATTTAAAACATTCCCAGTCCGTACTTATCAGATATAAAACATATATCTGATATAGCATTCCTGCTCGTGTGTTAATTAGTAGCATTTGGAGGGGCGGTCGCCCCTGGCTACGCCACTGCTTATAGACCATTGTATCTTGACAGAATATGCCAGTAATATCTACTTGCATGGTTGTCGGATTACAATTTCACCTCAGTTACATGTGAGAAGAACGCTTCCAGTTTGACTCAATAAAACAACGCAGGTTTTCTCTGGGTGTTCCGCTTTTCTCCAGCGGTGGGAGAATTAGTACACAGTATAATAAAGTTGATTTAGTTTATTGCAAAACTAATAATCCTTGATTCTTTTCAGGCTATCAGCGCGAGTTGTCCTACCAGCATTCTGATGGTTCGTACAGTGCATTTGGTGAACGTTATGGAAAGAAATCGGGCAGTCTGTGGTAGGTTTATGATAGAACAATCAGGTTCAGTACATGTGTAATCTCTTGGGTCATCTCTTATTGGTCCAGTGTTACCACAGGAGGAAACGTAAACTTAACTAACTTTATTTATACTAGATAGCTCTATCAGTTCTAAACTGTTCTTCCTAGAGGTCCAGTAAGGATCGTCTCTTATTGATCTAGTGTTACTACAGGAGGAAACCTAAACTAAACTAACTTTATTTATACTGGATAGCTCTATCAGTTCTAAACTGTTCTTCCTAGAGGTCCAGTAAGGATCATCTCTTATTGATCCAGTGTTACTACAGGAGGAAACACAAACTAAACTAACTTTATTTATACTGGATAGCTCTATCAGTTCTAAACTGTTCTTCCTAGAGGTCCAGTAAGGATCGTCTCTTATTGATCTAGTGTTACTACAGGAGGAAACCTAAACTAAACTAACTTTATTTATACTGGATAGCTCTATCAGTTCTAAACTGTTCTCCCTTGAGGTTCAGTAAGGATCATCTCTTATTGATCCAGTGTTACTACAGCAGGAAACCTAAACTAAACTAACTTTATTTATACTCAATAGCTCTATCAGTTCTAAACTGTTCTTCTTAGAAATCCAGTAAGTGATTTCTCGATGTTATATATTTCAGGTTAACAGCATTTGTGGTGAAATCATTTTCCCGCGCGAAGTCGTATATTTATATTGACCCAGCTTCCTTAGGCAGGAGCATGCGTTCTATTTTGTCGACTCAGCAGAACGATGGATCATTTGCTGAGAGTGGACACGTCAGTAGCTATTTACAGGTATGAGTTGAGATAGTTCATTATTCAATACACCCTTTCTGATCGTATTTAGCCTTGACCATAGACCAAGTCCTTTATCTCGATACTGATGAGCTGACTACACACGTAAAAATCTCACAACTTGTCAACAAGATGTGTTCGTAACAGGCATGTTGCAAGCTTCTCAACAAGTTGTAACAATGATGTTATTTTATCAAGTTGCTACAAGGTTGTCACTCACAACTTGTTGACAACTTGTTGAATTGCAGGACGGTTGTTGGAACAACTTGTAAAAAGTCTGTTGAGCTCAACAATCTTGCAGCAAGTTGTCGACAAGCTGTTGACAACTTGTCAACAAGCTGGGAACAAGCAGTGCGAACACATCTTGTTGACAAGTTGTTGGAACAGCATTGCTACAAGTCTGCTGCAGGTTTGTTACAACTTGTGCGTTTTAAGTGTGTATACAGATGTCTTCTATGCTCATTGATATATACTTATGCTTTATGCTTTCGTAAATGTCTCACCGTAACGAGATAAAGGCAAGCAGCCCTGCGTGGATATACTCGACAGCGTTAGAAAATGGTGTGTCACATCTATTATTCTTTCAGGGTGGTTTAAAATCGTCTTCTCCAGAGGCCTTAACCGCGTATGTTCTTGTGTCGCTTTTGGAGTCTGGTGACCAAAGTGATGTAAGTATAGTCGACATAAAATGGAACCAATTGTGGACCCAGAGCCATAAAATATTTGGCTACGAGATTCAATATCTGTATTAATTTTAATTGTTCTCCCTAGAGATCCAGCAACTATCGTGCCTTATTATTGTACGCTGTTTCTACAGGGAAAAACTTAAACTAAACTAATTTTATTTATACTGGAAGCTCTATCAGTTCTAAATTGTTCTCCCTAGAGGTCCAGTAAGGATCATCTCTTATTGATGCAGTGTTACTACAGGAGGAATCCTAAACTAAACTAACTTTATTTATACTGAATAGCTCTATCAGTTCTAAACTGTTCTTCCTAGAGATCCAGTAAGGATCATCTCTTATTGATCCAGTGTTACTACAGGAGGAAACCTAAACTAAACTAACTTTATTTATACTGGATAGCTCTATCAGTTCTAAACTGTTCTTCCTAGAGGCCCAGGCGAGTATCATCTCTTATTGATCCAGTGTTACTACAGGAGAAAACCTAAACTAAACTAACTTTATTTATACTGGATAGCTCTATCAGTTCTAAATTGTTCTTCCCAGAGGTTCAGTAAGGATAATCTCTTATTGATCCAGTGTTACTACAGGAGGAATCCTAAACTAAACTAACTTTATTTATACTGGACAGCTCTATCAGTTCTAAACTGTTCTTCCTAGAGGCCCAGCGAGGGTCATCTTTTATTGATCCAGTGTTACTACAAGGGGGAACCTAAAATACTGTTTTTCGTGGAGTCAAACTGAAAGCACTATTTTCGCATGTGAATTCTCGAGGTGACATTATAATCTTACAACTGCATATTTCAGGAATCGAACACAAACAACGTCCACTAACACCTTGTTTTCTTGCTCAGGGCGTGAAACGAGGGATCTCACAGGCTGTACAATTCCTCAAGGGAAAACTGAGAGGAATGAGCGATACCTACACTTTGGCATTGGTTGCTTACGCCTTTGAAGTTGCTGCTGACCCAGCCAAGGAAACTGCCTTGACTGAACTGATGAAGAAAGCCATCAGAGAAGGTGAAACTAGTCAGACTAACTTTATTTATACTGGATAGCTCTATCAGTTTTGAACTGTCCAGTGTTACTACAGGGATAGCCCTTTCAGTTCTAAACTGTTCTTCCTATAGGTTCTTGTAGGATCATCTCTTTATGCTGATCCAGTGTTACTACAGGAGGAAACCTAAACTAAACTAACTTTATTTATACTAGATAGATCTATGAGTTCTAATCTGTTCTTCCTAGAGGTCCAGTAATGATCATCTCTTATTGATCCAGTGTTACTGCAGGAGGAAACCTAAACTAAACTAACTTTATTTATACTGGATAGCTCTATCAGTTCTAAAATGTTCTCCCTAGAGGTCCAGTAATAATCATCTCTTATTGATCCAGTGTTACTACAGGAGGAAACCTAAACTAAACTAACTTTATTTATACTGAATAGCTCTATCAGTTCTAAACTGTTCTTCCTAGAGATCCAGTAAGGATCATCTCCTATTGATCCAGTGTTACTACAGGAGGAAACCTAAACTAAACTAACTTTATTTATACTGGACAGCTCTGCCAGTTCTGAAGTCTTCCCCCTATTATTGTTAAATATGCATGCAATTATTTCAAGACTTTGATTTTATTAAATGTTATTAATTCTGAAACGTTGCTTAATATATTCGATTTTAGATGGCACGCTACATTGGGAAGAGGCCAGCTCAGGCAAAACTGAGTCGAGTCCTTGGCTTCGTCCTTATTACAGACCTCGTTCAGCTGACATCGAAATAACATCTTACATCTTGCTGGCCTATACTCACAGAAAAGATCTTCAGATTGGGTTACCTATAGCGCAATGGTTGGCCCAGCAACGGAATTCGATTGGCGGATATTCATCCACTCAGGTGTGTCGGGGGGAATACTGATCTACATGCATTTTACTGAACTGTTTGTGTTTGTGTTTGCATGTTGCCGTATGGACAATGTACAAGAATTTTAGTCAAAGCATTTAGACCAAGATATGATGATCTGGAAGCTAAACGAAGTCATTGTGTTATGTTTTTATCTGAGTTTATGTTAATTTGTGCACGGTCACGGTGATTGAGCTCATTGTATTTTCGTATAATGAAGTAATCGTCCAATAGGGATAGCTGAGATGAAACGTGCAACCACGATGAATAATGGGCCCCCCAATAATATTTAAAGGCATATGGCAATAAAAATTAACTTTGTATTATTTGAAAGAACTTTTAAAGTTATATATGAAGACCCTTTACAACGTTTTCGTACCTTGCTTGGTTTTTGAAATATTTTGACCAAAAACAGTGTACAGCCCGCCATCTTAATTGGTATTATAATTGACCTAATTAACTGAGTTTTTGATGACTTACAAGCAGGGTAAACTTGTTAAAATTTCTTCATGTGGGACTAAATTTCTTCGAAAAGTTTCTTAAAATGTTGTGAGTTAATTGAGTACTAAAAGGCTTCGGAAAATCGAGTTTCAAACTGTTAATGACATGTGGTTTGCACGATCAAAATTTCGCTTTTTACCCTACTTGTGACGTATGCATATCGAATGCATATCCAAGATGGCGGAATGCACGCTGCTTTTGATCAAAATAAGTCGATTTATTTTGAAAACCAAGCAAGGTACGGAATAATTGTAAAGGAAGTTTATAAATTATTTTAAATGCTCTTTCAAATAAACAAACTTAATTTAAATTGCCTTATCCTGTTAACGAAGTTGAGACAAAGGATTTGTGCACAGTGAGGTCCAGTTCAACATCAAACAAAGCTCTTCTGTTTTGTAAGCTTTGCCGAGCTTCCAGACCGTCGTATCTTCACAGGCTATGCAGCATGCGTGTGCTAGGCCACATAAAATAAATTCCTTGATTCTCATCACCGCCCGACTGTATTGTAAGAGCCGCGTGAATTTTTTTTATATTTTGTTATACAATATAAATGTACCGCCCGACAAAATATTTCAAGACAGTTAAGTTTTTTATATTTTATGTTGGGTTTTTAGTGCCATTTTAAACTGCCAATTTCAAACAAATAGAACCTTGAAAGAAATTTCATTGCATTTTAACGGAACTTCGCATTCAGTTCAAGGGCCAGTGATTGCTCGTGGAGAAATATGTTTATTTCAGTTTGTGACACTTTTATTTATTGATATGTATTAAATTATATAAAATATAAACCTCCCGCCTCTTCGACATTTTCAAAGTGTAGTGATGAGAATCAAGAAATTTATTTTATGTGGCCTTAGAAATGTGACGTTGTTTTCCTCAAGTAAACAGCGACTACTAATACAGTACTGTCTTTCAACAGGATACCGTGATTGGTCTCCAGGCCCTATCAGAGTTCGCGCCTCTGGTGTTCTCGTCTGACGTCAGCTTTACAGTGAATGTGAAATTGTCGACGGAAGTCAGTTACGACAAGACGTTCCAAGTGACTAAAGATAATCTCGTTGTTTTACAAGAGGAAGAGGTACGCCCCAAAACTATGTAGAAATGTAAAATTCAAAGACACAAGTACTATTCACAAGATGAGCTCGCTTTCGCGGCTCGAGTTTGTATATCCGATACAAACGGACGCGAATATTGTAAATGGCTTGTGGATCATCTTGATGAGAACATTCGTATTTTTCAATGAATGATATTTGGTGAGAAAATTGAACTTAAAGTACTATTTAATAAACGAGCAGGAGTGTTTTATTAGGTTTAAAGCCACGAGCGCGCAGCGCGAGTGGCTTTAGACCTAATAAAACACGACCTGCGAGTTTTTTAAATGGCTTCAAAAACGTTTGCATAATAAGTCAAATCTGAATATGAAAAATCTTTATATAAAAATCTTTATATAGTTTGCATAACAATGGTCTTTTGTTAAAGTGTTCTTTAGCTGGTATAAAGACGTATGCACGTGACTAATTTCTTACTCAAGATTGGATAATTGCTTCATGAATTATTACTGAGTTTTTGAAGTTTATGTAAATCAGCATGATTTTGTATCAGATATACAAACTCCTTCGTAGTCATGATTTCTCTTGTGTTTTCTTCACGAGTTATTAAAATGTTAAAATTAAGTGTACGTTCTACATCGTGCGTTAACGATGTGAAATATATTTGTTTTTGTTTATTCTTGTTTTATTCAATGTCTAGCTTCCTACTGTTGCTGGCAAAGTTGTCATTTCAGCCCAAGGGAAAGGAATTGGTGTTTTGCAGGTACAGTGGGAATTTATTAATCTGCACATCTCTTTCAGAAGAGCCTGGATATAAAAATACGAGGCGAAGCCGAGTATCTTTAAGTCTGATAAAACACGCACTGCGAGTGTTTTAAATTGCTTCAAAAACGATCGATCTAGTAAGTTCATTGGCAAAGTAATTTTCAAAAAATACGTTGTGTAAGTGGAGAAAATCAAAGTTAAAGTTTATGTAAATCAAGGGAAATCTCTATCACATATAAAGATACGACACGCTTATGATTTTTCTTTGTGTTTTCCTCATGAATTATTAATGAGTTTTGATATGTATTTATTTCAGATTGGAGTGACGTATAATGTAAAGACGGCTCCCACTGATAATGCGTTTGAAGTCGTTGTCAAAGTAGGAAGCTCCGACAACAACAAAGTGGAAGCTCGCTCGTGTGTGAAATATACAGGAGATGGTGATAATTCTGGAATGGCGATCCTGGAGTTTGGTTTGCCGTCTGGATTTAGTTTGGACCAAGAAGATGTGAATAAGGTGAGATTTGGGTATCTTGATTCATCTTAAAATCTAATTCACTGCTTGCGTGGTCGCTCATTTTTTCCACCCCTGACGATAAGTGTCGCAAATGTTTTGTCCAGGATTGTAGCTAGCTGTGACCATATATTATATTACTAGCTACCTAGCTGTGACCATATATTATACTCAGTACATTTGTTTCGTTTTAGCTTCTGTCCGACGTGGGTAACAAAATACAGAGGATCGAGACCCCGGGAAGGAAAGCAGTTTTATATTTTGATGAAGTAAGTTCGACATTTTCGATGAGCTTGTATAGTTCGAGCTAATTTCGATGCGAGCATGAATAGTAACAGATTGTCATTTCTACAGGTGCCCAAGAGTAATGAGTTATGTGTGGATATTAAATCCGTAAGAACTCACGCAGTCGGAAAAGCTCAGCCTATCCCTGTTGTTGTTTACGATTATTATAAACCAGGTACAGAATAAACTAACTTTAATGAAGTTTAATATATTGAACTAAATGGCAACTAAACCACAACTTAGCCAAACAACACACAACGGTCTAGAGGCTCTCGCTAACCTAAGTTGTTATCATCTTGTAACAAGGTTGAGGAGGCCAACAGACTCGCAACAAGTTGTTCCAACAAGTCTGATATCGTCTGCACGTAACAAGTTGTTAACAAGTTGATGACAACAAGCTCGTAGCAACTTGTTACGAACAGCCTGTGTTAGTGTTGATGGAACAACTTGTAGCAAGTCTGTTACCGTCACCAACCTTGTAACAAGGTGATAACAACTTGTTCCAGACTTGTCACAACAACTGGGAACAAGCAGTGCGAACACATCCTGATATCGGCTTCACAACAACCTTGTTACAATTTGTTTGCAGATCTCTAACAACTTGCGCCTTTTACGTGTGGATATGATATGATATGATATGATATGATATGATATGATATGATAAGCTATCTCAAAAGATATTTTATATTTTAGAAAAACGAGCAACAACGATGTATGCGACACAAGATGACGTATCTCTCTGTGACGTGTGTACAGACTGCGCGAACTGTGTGCCACGAACACGCGGGTCTGGTCACGCGACACGCGCGGTATCCTTTTCCCATGTTTTGGTGCTTATTTTTACCCTGCTTTTGTACCACATTTACTAAGCAACGATAATTTTTTGGCTGGTCCAATATACAACTGTAGAAACTGTTGTAGTCAGTACTAGTAAATACACTGTAGCTGTACTGTATAACGCTATAGACGGATATGTTATTTAGTCGAGATGGTCTGTTTAATGCAAAAGTTAGACAATTTTAGGCTACGGCCTACGTTTACTCTATACTGGATAGTTTTCCGTAGCGGCGGGAAAAAGCGCCTATCTGATACGGAATGTACAACTTTCAGGAGCTGAGCGAAGCAACATCTCTCCGTTGCAATAATTCCTCTGAAAATAGCGTTCCTAAAAGGTACAGATAGATGTTTTTTTACGTCGCTACGGAAATCTATCCGCTACAGTATAAACGTAGCTTTAGGGTATATTTAGCCTTCACAAGTATACGTATCCAACGTATCCAGTAATATAACATCCAGTTATTGATACTAATTCGGTCCCAGGACAATGTGGACGATCATGGGCCGAAATATATAGACTATAAATTGACCAGTATATGTAGATAGCGTTTCCCTAGCGCTTTACATTTATATAATAATTGGGATCATATATTTTACCCCGCATGTTTCAAGTTTAATTCGCTAGTGTGCACAATATTCATTGACAGTAATTCTTCGGTCAAGGAAATGTATTGAGGAAAATCTGCTTGTTTGCGCGATTAGAATTGTAAAATAGATAATATAATGGTAAAAACACGTATAAAATCAATACATTCATATAATTCAATTTAAATGGTGATATGTTAGCGCGTTATATTTTGGCCAGGAGGCTACGGGCTTTTTGGTTCAATGGAGATTTTGACAAAATTCTGGTTGAGGTATCTTTGACCAGTGCATGAGCTCCATAAATATCTCGAGCGATTTCAAAGGTAAGTCTGTTATCAAATTATGGTGGCATGCACGGTCCACGTGCGTGTTGCAGCACGTTTAAGCAGCCATTATATAAAGTCTTACGAAATAGCATTACCATGTCGTTGTGTCCAGTATTTCTCAGCACAATTTGCGTAGGAGATATTAAAAGTGGCTGAGAGGTCACTTGTGAAACTATCAATTTATAACGTAGATATCTTTGTTGTTTAGCATTCCTGAATGTGAGCACTTAACTTGCCTTTTACTTTTAATATCAGAGTCAATAGTACCATCCAGTCATGATCCACTGATCAGAATGTTCCACTGTCTTTTCATTTTTTGAAAATCTCACTGTTCTCCATGCCATCCAGTCATGATCCAGTGATCAGAATGTTCCATCGTTTTTTCATTGTTTTGAAAATCTCGCTGTTCTCCATGTCATCCAGTCATGATCCAGTGGTCAGAATGTTCCATT